GGCGGACGGCGGGACGGACGCATGGAGAGGCGGCACTGCAGAGAACGCACCCCCGCCGAGGCCCGAGTGCAGAGTCACCCCCGGAGCGGCCGGCCCCGTCCCGGGCGCAGGAGCGCGCCCCGCGCCTTCCACCTGCGCTCCCTCGCGGGCTGAGCGCGCCGCGACACCCGCCGGGGCTGGCGCCCGGCTCCGTGGCCCCGGGGGCTCCTGCATCGGTCAGTCCCCGCTGGAAAGTCCGGGCCCACGCGACGATTTGCGAATTTCCCAGAACGGTACGGAGTCGCGAAGCCCAACTTATGGAAAACAAAAGTGCCAAAGGAGGAACACGCTCCAGCCTGGGTTTGCCAGGAGCTCCACGGCCGGGTCCACGCGCCAGTCTCCACTTACCAAGTCGGGAGAGGTGGCTGGCCGTCTGCACAGAGCCGGCCGGGAAGGATCGGGCCCAGAGGACGGATGGCGGGAGTAGAGGTCACCCCCGGAACGGCCTTGGGCTGCGGACGCTGGGGAGCCCGGCAGGACCTCGGCCTGGGCGGCGTGGGGTCCAGGAGGCATCGCCCGCCGCCCGCTCTGCACTGAGGGAGGACGCCGGGTGAGCCGCCCGCAGGAGAAACGGGACGCTCGGGAACCCACCCCCGCGCTCCCCCTCCCGCCCCCAAACTGCAGATTTTTAAGTTGTGCAGACTTGCAATAATTCTTCCGAGCCAGCTGCCTCCACGTTGTTCCACGGGTCCCGCCCCACATCACGCGCTCCGCCAGCTGCCCTCAGCACAACTCTCTGACCACTCACCGCCCTCAAACCAGGGCCAGGGAGACCACCTGAGCCAGGCCCAGGAGGGAGAGGAGGAGTGTATGGAAAAGGTGCCCCCTCCCAAGGTTCCTGGCGATGCCTTTGAATTTTCTAATTGTTCCGTGTTTGACCTAAACCCTTGGTTGGAGTGGAGGAGGTGTTTATAGTAGGTGGTAGGTTTCAGAGAAGAGGACTCTGCACTGCAGAGGTTTGTTGGAAAGAGGAGGATGGAGAGGACAGGTAGGAAAGTCAAGAGTTGAGAAACTGAGGTGGCTGGGAGGGGGACCCTAAGACCCTCAAGGCTTTGAGACTTTGTCTCAGACATTTTCTTTGGGTTTATGAGGAGATGGGGAGGTGAGAGGCTGGCAAATAGGTGTTTTGAGCCGCTCTGGCTTAATCCCACAGTTCTTTGTTTTCTCCAAGTCTCCCCATCCCCTCCTGTTGGAAGGGAATCCAAAGCATTTGTCTATGTGGATGCTTTCAAAGGCCTGATGAAGGTGATTTTCAGACAGGATTCATCTTTAGCAAAAGATATCAGGCAATCCTAAAATTGGCATGCATGTTGTATCGGCACTTTAGAAACACTCTTCTCTTCCGAAATCCATCCCGGCAGTTAACTATTTAATCATTATCAAATCACTACGTTTGTCCCACAAGTCCATCATTGTTTACTTGGGAACCCAATATGGTCCGCATCTCTAAGCACTGCAGAAGACGTCTGCAGTGCAGAAGAGTCTGGGAGTGAGGCCATTCTTGCAGGATCTGGATGGCACCTGTCAACCACAGGGAGGGTGTCCACAGTTGGGGAGGGGGAGGAAGAGTGGGGAACAGCCCCTTGTGGTGTCTGTGAGCATAAGGGACAGAGGATGGCCTCCACCTTGAGTATGTCGGGCAGTGTAGACAGTACAGACATGTGAGTTAGATAGATGAGGCTTCTCCTCTTACCCTTTCAGTAAGCCCGTGAGCAGTCATGTAACTTTTCCACCTTGACTTTCTTAACAAGAGATTAAGAAAAGTTCCTCCCTCACAGGGTGATCAGAGATGCAAATGAGATGAGACCTGAAAACAGGGTATGGTCTACAAAGCATGTGCGTCTGCTGTCTGAAAACTCATCCCTGGAAGGTCCTCAAAGTAGAGCCCAGGCAAAGTGGCAGATTCCCTCCTATCTGCACATGCATGTGCCTGCCATACATGCACACACTCTCCCTCTGTGTCTATAGCCTCCTCCTCACACCCTCTTTCCATTCATGCTCCGACCTGTCTTCTCCCCAACCCATACCGCCCCCCCCCCTTCAAGATGTCTTCATGCCACATGCTGTGACACTGCCATTGAGTCAGTGCCAACTCATAGCGCCCCTCTAGGGCATAGTAGAAGTGCCTCTGTGAGTTTCTGAAACTATGGGAGAAGATAGCCCTGTCTTTCTCCCATGGAGAACTGGTAGTTTGAAACTGCTGACCTTGAGGATCACAGCCCAATGCATAATCATGATGCCACCAGGGCTCCTTGTCCAGAGCCCCTTAATTAACTGTCCCCATAGCACCTTAGTATACCAGTCACCTGTAAAGGGTAAATGATCAGCTAGCAACAACACTTATTCTCCCACTTGTTTGCAAGAGGACTTACAGAGTCGTGCCAAGCAAAGGTGGAATGGGTGCAGTTCCCTCCAGACTTCTAAGTCCTGAATCTGGGCACATTCCTCTTTTTGAAGTCTCCCTCTCCTACCCCCCTACCAGTATACCCCTTCCCTCTCCTCAACCACACCTGCCCTGGATCTTTTATTCTCACTAAACCCCAAGTGGCAAAATATCAGTGGGGTGTCCCTGTTGGAGGGAAAACAAACAAATGCCACCATTGAGTCAATTCTGGCATCATAGCAACCCTCTAGGACAGAGTAGAACTCCCCTTGTGGGCATCTAAGACTGACTCATCTTTCTACCACAGTGAGGCTTGTGGTTTTGAACCACTGACCTTGCGGTTAGCAATCCCACACATAACCCATTACACCACCAAGGTGCGTATTGATGGGAAAGGAAGGACTAATTGGCTTTTTTGTTTGGAGCAGGTCTGCATATGAAAAATAAGGTGTTCTAAACTGTGGTAGCAAGGGAAAGAGTGAGGGGAGAGGGTTAATAATCATGGTGAATATTTATGTGCTGGTGCCTCTTACTTGCCACTCTCTACCCAGCCGTATTTTAAAAGTACCATGGACTGTTGGAAGAATAGTAAAAGTATCACGGACTGATAAAAGGACAACCAGATCTGTCTTGGAAGAAGCAGGGCCAGAATGCTTCTTGGAGGTAACGATGGTGAGACTTCGTCTTCGATCCTTTGCCCATGTTGTCAGGAACGTCCAGTCCCTGGAGAAGGCCGTCATCTTGGTAAAGTGGAGGGGCAACAAAAAAAGAGGAAGGCCCTCAATGGAAGGATTGACACAGTGTTTGCAACCATGGGCTCGGGCACAGGAACAATTGTGAGGACGAGGCTGGAACAGGCAGTGCAGTGTCTCAGTCAGTGTGCACAGGTCTCTCTGAGTCGGAACCAACCCAGTGCCATCTAACAAGCACAACCCAACAGCGTGAAGATAACCCAACAGCGTGAAGATCTCTGCAGTCAATAGGAGTTTATGAAACACTTGAAATTTGCCAAACTGTCAGGGCTTTTTCATGCCTCCCTGTATCCACAGGACAGCCTTTTCCTGGGAATGGCCTTTCCAATCACTGGACTTTCCTTGGTTAACAAAGTCCTCTCCCTCAGGAAACCATTCAGTTAAAGATCACCCCTTTCTCCCATCTTGAGTTAGGCATCTCCTTCCTACCCGTGCTCCCGCGGCACCCTTTCCCCTTCTGCGGATGCTGTTGTTGAATGCTCTTATGTCAGTTCTGCTCACAGCAACTGCGTGCACAACAGCATTGTTACTCTGGGTTCATCCATCTCGACGAGAGTCTTCCTCTTGGTTGCTGACTACGTCCTTTACCCAGCACGATGTCCTTTTCCAAGGACGGATCTCTCCTGACAACATGTTCAAAGGATGTGAGACGAAGTCTCACCACCCTCGTTTCCCAGGAGCATTGCGGCTGTACATTTTCCAAGACAGATGGGTTCTTCTGGAAGCCTGCAGCCCCTTCAATGCCTTAATTCAACTGCTTCTGCTCTTAAGGGCCTTCCCTAGTCCTCGCTCAGATTTCACGTGCATATGAAGCAATGACTTAGATCACGTGAATCCTAATCCTCCCAGTGACATTCTTGCTCTTCAACACTTTAAAGAAATGTTAGGCAGCAGATTTGTCCAATGCAATATGTCATTTGATTTCTTAACTCCTGCTTTGCATGAGCGCTGACTGTAGATCTGAGCAAAATGAAATCCTGCACAAGGCCTGTTTTTATTTATCTACTGGTTCAGTTGGGAGGATTTTAATTTTCTTTACATTGAATTGGCATCAATATAGGATGCTACAAGTCTTGATTTTCGTCACCAAATGTTTCAAGTCCACGTTGCTTTCAGCCAGCAAGTTTGTGTCAAGTACATATGGAAGTTTGTTACTAAGACTAATGCCACATTCGTCTTCACATCATCCAGCTTCTTGCATTATTTGCCCAGCATACAGATTAAATATGGTAACAAGACACAACCGTGACACACACTTTTCTTGTATTTAAGTCATGCAGTATTCCATTGTTCTGTTCTAACGACTGCCTCGGTCCAGGTCTAGGCTCCACATGGACACAATTAAGTCTTCTGGAAATTTCATTCTTCTCAATGTGGTCCATAGTTTGTTAGCATATGCCATATTGGATTTAATTGTTTGCCTGTCTCTGTCTTCCACAAATGTGCAATGGTGGTTAAATAGAATGCATACCTCCCATGGGGTAGAGACAGGTGCAATTCACAGCCAGGGCACTTGTGCCTCTTACTGGAGGCTTGATGTTGCTATGACACTGAACAGGTTTCAAAGGAGATTCCGGATGAAGATGGACTAGGAAGAAAAGTCTGGGGATCTACTTCCAAAAGCTGGCCAATGGCACCCCTACAGATCACGAGAATTGCACAGGACTGGATAGCGTTCCATTCTCTTGTACATAGGTTCATCATGAGCCATGGCTGACTGGACTGCACCTAGCAGCTTCTTACACTTGACAAGATCTACTTCATTGGTTCTCAACCTTCCTAATGCCGTAACCCTTTCATACAGCCCCTCATGTTGTGGTGACCCCCCAACCATAAAATTATTTTTGTTGTTACTTCATAACTGCAATTTCGCTACTGTTAGGAATCAGGCGACCCCTGTGAAAGGGTCGTTCAACCCCCAAGGGGTTGTGACCCACAGGTTAGGAACTGCTGATCTACTTGAAGATTGAATTTCCGTGGCCTGGAGAAAGACTTGACTTTTTACTGCCATAAAGAGCTACAGTCTTGGAAACCCACAGGGCAATTCTATTCTGTCCCACGGGGTCCCTGCGAGTCGGGGTTGGTTCAATGGCAATGAGTTTGGTTGTGTTTCTTTCTGTAGAGTCTTGTCTGTTCACAAAGTCAATTCCTGAGAACTCTCTCTCTTGGGCTTGCTCAGTTCCTTCTGCTCCTGGTGGAAACTCAAATCCTTTGTTTCCCTGCTTCCTTCTTTCCGGTTAAAAAAATAAAACATGAACCGCCACGCTGCTCCCTTTGGCTGGCTGGCAGGCA